TGACATTTATTTATTTATGCATATTTTTAAATCTCTCCAGTTTTAAACAATATTTTTGGTTTACTGTCCTATAGTATACATTGGAATGATTTCAAACCTGTTTTTATTTATCCTAATAATTATAAAGGAGTGCCTTGGAAATATTTGTTTACATAAATTGTGATCAAAACGTTTGAGACCCACTGAGACAACTTAGACTAAAGTGAACTATCTAAACACTCCTTTACCTCACTGAGCCTCTCAGTCTGACAGGAGAGCTCTCCCTCCACATTATTGAAACAGCTTCTTATATCCGTTAGCGCAACAACAATCCCCGACGGTACCGGTGCACCCCTATCTATCTATCTCTCTATCTCACGCTTGCTGTGGGCTGCGGGCGCCTGATAAGCCAACATCCCCCACTTTCATCACTTACAGCGCCCATCGTACAGGGCAAATGGAAAATGTAACCGGGGTGAAAAGGGTGATATCTTCACTTAATTAGGAATGTTGTTGGCTGAAAATTCATTTTTTTTGTATTATATTTGTATTTAATCTTGTGGAAGTGCAGATCCCCTGTCCTCCACCAGGGGGTGCTGCAGCACCCTCAGCACCCCTACTTCCCACGGCCCTGGCTCTCACTACCGATTTTTAATCCTAATTTAATCATCATCTTCACCACGATCATTTATGTTTATGTTCGCCGAATTGACATGAAAGCACTGACAAATATGAATATACTTTAGTCAACTTCATTAAAACGTTATTAACGTGCCTAAACTCAGTAATTCACCATTTCTACGCATGACAACACACTTTGTCCGTGTTTGGCTCTCTCGCCGCACAGTGAAGCGTTCCCGCATTGACGTCACTTCCGGCTTCCCCCAAAACCTCAAAATGAGTCGAAGGAATTTTCCCGCGATGTTCGAAATTATTGATATTTATCGGAACGGTATCGCTTTTTCTTTTTTAAACTGACGGTTCGAGATTACTAGTAGCCCACTATTTCATTGCACAACAGTTGTTGGGTTCGTGTCACAGGCTCTTTAAGCAGCCCACAATCTTTTTTTTAGACTTAACTTTTTCTGGGAATAGGATTTGCAGACAGCTGCAGCACCATTATACTGACATTAGAATGGTATTTTTGAAACATGTATTTTCTGTGAGACAGTACCAACTTTAACTTCTATCTGCTTTAAAAATCCCAGCCCAAAATCGGGATTATGGACATCTAAGAAGATAATAAAATGGACTTTTATTAATCCCTCGTGGGGAAATTGTTTCTCTGCATTTGACCCATCCTAGTGTTAGGAGCAGTGTGCTGCCATTTTGAACGGCGCCCGGGGACCAGTGTAGGGAACGGTGCATTGCTCAGGGACACCTCGGTAGCACTTGGTCTTGCCGGGACTTGAACTGGTGACCTTCCAGGTGCCAAGCCAACTCCCTATCGACTTCGCCACCACCGCCAAACAGTAGTTCCCATACCGGGAGTCGAACCGGGGCCGCCTGGGTGAAAACCAGGAATCCTAAACCGAAGGAATTAGAATTCCCTCTGGTCAGTCAGCCTGTTTAGGCCTAACCTACAAATATGTGATCTAAGCTCTCCAAATACACTTTTTTGGATAACAATAAAAACCCCAACATTTACATTTAATACATTTCTGACTGTAATTGGATTTGGTGTCCTGACAGTGAGATGTGTCAGTTTTCTGTAATGTGTGTGTGTGAAGGTTCTGCTTAACGTGTGTTCCCATTAAACTAGCTGGAGCACTGGAGCCTGAACTGTCCCTGAGGCATCAGCCACGTGGTTTCTCCCCCCACTTACTGTAGGCTTTTTTAAATGCACTCTCCTTTTTTTTTTTCACACGCAGAGGGAAGGCGTGGCTGAGGGTGCCAACCCATTCCAGCATTACGTAACCACCTTGTATAGAGGCTATCCCACTGCATGCACGACCTCATAGGAAGTGCATACAAACACGAAGGGAGCACTTACAGCAATGGGCCTTTCTCAGTTACCCTCCACTGCCAAATACGTTTTACGGTGCATATTCATGTTTTATTGGGCCAGAGTTTTTCTTGAGGCCTGGCTACGATACATACATTTTCCTAATAAAGCAAACCTTTTTAGATAGTTTAGTCCCCTTCAATGCCTTACACAAAAACAAATTCCCACCTACAGGCCAGGGCCTTTTTCTACCTTATCTACAAGACAACAGGATTTCATTTTGTACTGTTTCTTTTATTGTAGGCCATTTCTGAGCATACCAATATCAGACTAACCCCTCCCTCTGACCTCCTCTCTGCAGTGAAGGATCTGATCCACTGGCGAGACCCCAAGAAGTCGGGCGTGGCGTTCGGGCTGTCCCTGCTGATGCTGCTGTCGCTGGCAGCCTTCAGCGTCATCAGCGTGGCGTCCTACCTGCTCCTGGCCCTGCTCTGCGTCACCATCACCTTCCGCATCTACAAGTCCGTGGTGCAAGCCGTGCAGAAGTCCAGCGACGGACACCCCTTCAAGTGAGACTCAATCCTCTTAATTCAATTATACTTTTAACGTTTCTCCTTTGTTACCTGGGAGATTCCATTGACCCGGGAGTGATACTGCCAACATTAAATTAGCGCATTGTTAAATGATCAAAGTATAGAGCGTTTCTTTAATGCAGCTCCTGATTCAGAGCATGGGTGACCCAATCACCTGATGATTACAACATCTGTCAAGTACTGTTCTATCTATAATTAGGTCTATTTTTAGAGTTTTTCTTTTTTTGTATTGGAAAACTTTGTTAGAAAAGCTAGTTCATATGGCATCACCATAGAAACAAGATAAAGAGAAACTGTGATTTAAATTGACATTGATTTATTTAGAAATAGTTTTATTCCTTCTTAAAGAGCCTGTGACACGGGTTTCCCCCATCATCCAAACCCATCAATTTGAGTAAATATTGTCCCCTTGAAAACCGTTACTGAACTGATTTTGGATATTTGTGCTGTGATAACCATTAATCTGCCCTTCAATGTTGACCATATTCTGGATCTTCTCGGGGATTCTTCAAATCCCGCCAAATTATGTGTGAGGTAATTGCGGGCCAAGCGCTCCAGCTGCACCGTTCAAGATCCCAGCATCTGCATGTAAACGCACGATGGTGCACAAAGCAGCAAGCTCAGACAGCGATGACAGTTTAATTTTGAACGTGTCTGAGAGCTCATATGAGGCTGAAGGATCGGTTTATGTTGTATCTGTTAGAAGCCTAGGAATTAGGTGTGTCAATATGGGCGATCATACGGTCATGGAGCCAGTGGTGGACTGGGATTAAAAATCATCCCGGGACTCTCGACCGGCTCACTTCGGTACCGCTAGTAAATTGTCAACGGGGGGAGTGGGGGATGTGCTAGTGACTTATCCGACCGGCCCACTTCGGTACCGGCCCATCGGGATTCGTCCCGATGGCCAGTCCGCCACTGCACCCAGCCCAGCCCACCGTAAACTGTCAACGGGGGGAGCCTAGCTGCGGGGAAACGGTGGACCTAGTGTCCCGATCGGAGTGGGAATTAATAATAATCCGTGCATTTTATCCATTAATTTCCCCAACATTGTGGTAAAAAAACCACACGTTTAATCCACGTTGGTGTACTACAACTACAAAAAGCATTGGTTTGTTTTCTCATCAGGAAATGCAGACCGGCTCAAACAAACGATTTTTAAATCATCCTCCTCACGATCATTTAATGTATCATATGTTCGCCGAATTGACATGAAAGCACTAATAAATGTAGTTTCATCCACTTGAGTTTACAACGACAAAAATAATCGATTTGTTTTTATATCACATCCTACGGGAGGAAATCCAGCAGCTCTCACTGCAGATTTTTTAATCCAAATTTTAATCATCATCTTCACCACGATCATTTTATGTTTATGTTCGCCGAATTGACATGAAAGCACTGACAAATATGAATATACTGTAATCAACTCATTAAA